CTTGAGCTTGGTTTTCTTTCAAAAATCAGTCTTTGTTCAGAAGCATTCAAATCACGTGAAATAGGATGTATGTGTGACACATCCAAACTCATTCTAGAAGATATTTTATCATTTTATAAATGTGAGTTATGAGTAGGTATAATGTTCATTGAATTTCTGATGACAACATTCGAAAGCTTGATTCGAAAATACAATAATTTGAAATTTTTCAATTGGATATTCAATTGAATAAATGTTTTTATCCTATTTGTCCTTCAGCATAAATCGTCAATTTACACAGATCAGTGTATGACTTATCGACAAACATATTTTTGTGGGAACATTTCTAAACTTGATCTGAAAGTTGCAGTAATATCAACTAATAGATGTGAAGCACGCAAATGTATGACGCATAATTCAGGTTCATTTCACTATTCTGATCGTACTTTTCTTATTTTCGCATCAAATCTTCAAGTTTTTACTACTTCGAAGAAACTGATGTTTGTGTACAATACATTTGAAGTTACAATTCGGGGTTAATCATTCGATTTTTCTATTTTTTTGCATTAGAAGTTTTTCATTTTTAGCTTGAACAGATAAGTTTTGAAGCATAAACGACACAATATGTTTATATAGTTTTTCGAAAAATGAGTCTCTATTGTTATTATGAGTATTTAGCTTTCCAATCATATCTCTTTAAATGTTTAGGTTTAACTGACAACAGACGCAACCTTAGTTGTAAGTATCGAAAATTGTTGAAATACGCTTTATTGGTATATTTTCTTTGATAACTACTAATAAAAAATAATGAATGGAGTCGACTTCACATTGAACAGTCACATATATTAGAAACATTACTTTACAATTAAATTTTGATGCTTAAATAAATTAAAAGAGCCTTTGAGATATGAACTCACTTAAACTTTCTCTCCTCTAAATCTAGTACACACTGATATACGCTGAACATGACCATTAGATTGAAATAAACTTTAAATCGGAATTGGGGGCGTGGATTTCCTCTTAAAACATAACCACACCCACACCCACAGCCTTGTTTCATTGTTTGCAGTTTAACATACATATTTCAACAGTGACCTAAAATTTCCTTTCATAATATATAACTTATTTTCGCATACTATTAGTCTTCTTAATGGCGTGAATTTCAAAGCTTTCAACAAATGAAATGGCACTTTTTATCTATGAGAAAAAAATCACACTTCTAATTTATAGCATACATTTATATTACGTACTTATAAGCTCATCATCGTATTCTGTGGTTTCTGACTGCACTTACATGGATACGAAGTTTCAAAAATCTACTGCTTTCCTCTTGAAAAAATGTTTGACAATAATGAAATTACGATGAAATATAGTCGAAGAATACTTCAATATTTCTCAAACGAGACACAATTGTTTTTAATAAAAAGTATATTTAAAAACAGCACATTTAGACATTTTCAAAAAGACTTTTACATGACATCTGCTCATTTAACTTTCAAATGTAATAGATTTACTTTGTTGATATCTTTTTTCAAACTATTTTGATCATATTTTACTGTGTGTCTATCTAATCTCAAGCAATATCGAAAGATTATCAGCATGACGTAGTTAATATATGCTCGAAGCTATTTAAAACAACGTTGATCAGTATGGAATAGCTGTGCTACTGTTTCTTATTATAGTTTTAGACACCTTCATTTGTTTTTAAATCGATAGTGATCGTAAAGAATGCTTCACAAAAATAGAACGTAATGATTTATCTTCAAAAGATTCCATTCAAAAAATCTTAATGGATCTAAATAGTCATGAAAAGGAAATGGAATCGTTCTTGGCCTGTTTGAGCTGGTTATTCTTAAAATAACGAAAAAAATAGTTGAAATAGGTAAATGACATTTTTAAAGTCACTCTTTGGAGCCACGAAGCACTTGTTCTTGTGTATATTATTTGTCAGTCACAGAGACGAAAAAATTTTAAAAAATACGTGAAAATGGTAACAATATTTCGACTGTGATCGAATGCTAGTCGTGTTTTCTAATTGCTACTCAAAGACATTCACACAAATGCAACATGACACTGGTTTCTTGTCGCATACTAGCTGAAATTACGATCGGTTTATTCGTTACAGGTTCTTAGTAGTTTCTAAGTTTGGTTTTTCTCAACGATTTTGACTCATAGCTAAGAACCACGATTATCACCCTAAAATGTTGAAATTGTTAATCTGTTTATATATACTTTTAATTTTCTCTAGTTATATGCCTCGTCTCAATCATTTTTTTCTATCATTGTTTTATTCAAATAAACTGTTCTTATTATATTTAAAATTCGTAAGTAGTGAGATCTAACTTTTTACTTCTTGACTTCTCTACAAATTCACCTAGCTGTCTATCTTCATATATCTTACGATTTTTCATTTTAGTGTTAAGCGGTCCTAGGTATTTTTTGAATACCTTTATAACAATAAGTATTTTAAAGTTCAGTTTTTCAATGCTATCTACAGACCATTCTCTTACTCTTCTTCTTAAATACATAACGAGTTTTGTAGATGACTTCTGTGTGTTCTAGATAAAACACGAAGCCGAAATCACAAACTACTAGTCATAAGTTTGACAAAATTCAACAAACTGAACGCGTTTCTATCGAAGAAACAAAAACAACTATATAATACCACTGGAACATACACAGTGAGAATTTACTATCTGTCTCACTGTTGACGTAAACTTCTATCTATGTAAATAACTGCTTAATTGTTGATTGAACTACATGTATACTGAGTTATCTAGCTCATTTCATGTTTACCTATTCAAAAGCGACATATCTATCTAATTACCTATCCGTGGTTCTTCACACTTCTCAATACACTTCTACAAAATTCTTATTTTCAAGGAGCATTATATGAAATGTAACTAAGTTGTTTTAATATTGTGTACGAAATGAGTTCTTTAAAACAATGAACATGAAAAGCGTAAAAAAAATTATAGTTGAAAACGATACATTGGTTCCCGCACCCTTCTACCGTTAATGTTTTTTTTCGCATTAAGATAATAAAAGAGAAAAAGTTGTCAGCTTGTTTCTTTTTGTTAGATTGATGATACAAAATAGTTTAAAGACAACGGATCAAAAGGAGAACAGCATAATTCTTATTTTTTGCAATTGCTGACATTTTACCATACGTCTTCGTATTTTTCTGTTCTTCATCATACTTTTGGATACTTCTTTAATTGTTCTCTTAACTGTCTTTTCTATTCTGTACTTTGGAAGTACATAAATATTATATTCTGCCTTGAACTGAATGTATATAGAATTCCTCGGGCCTTGAGAAATTTCGCTGCTAATATTGAACAGTTGATTGCTGTTCATTTGAATTTTGTGTCATGTCTGGTTTATGGAAATGAATCAATGCTCATATTAAAGGATAAGGTTTAAGACTGAAAACGATGATCGGAGTAAGTAGATGATATAGTTGTTCATATATCTTTATAGAAGATCTTTATCAGGATTACATGCATAACATTCTTTTTTGATTAGTGATGCATTGTTGTGAAAAATGAAGGAAAATTTTAGAGACCACTTTTCTTTTTCGTCCTTTTTATACTAAATGTAAGTCAGTGATACTTAAACGAAGGAATAGCAATAGCACCTAACACTTGTTCTCATATCGCTGTACATAACGTCTCAATTATAAAGGTAGTTGTTAGAGACTATTTCGTTCCAATGGTTATCGAATATTTTGATGTATGTTTTTTCTTGTTTAGAAGAAGTTCTAGTGAATTTGATTGCAAATCTGCACTTACACTGATAAGGTCAGTTTTTCTTGTGTTTTACATTTTCCTTCTTGTTTTTCTCTCTCTACATAGATAGTTATTTTCAAATATTGTACGACTGTATGATTTTATCTTTACAAACTGTAGAGAGTCAAATATAAGTTAATTACACTTAATATTCTCAATTTGTTTTATAACACTGATTCTTATCTGAATTCTTCTAGAATGTTTTTGAATACGCTGCATTGAAAAAATTAATGATATCCTTAACATGGACTTAATTCAAGTACAACATATAAGACAGGTCTTTTCTTTAGGTGGTTTAGAAACGTTTGGTTTTTTTTCTTGTCTTTCTTGATATACTTGACGAGCGTCTGAACTAATATCTTGCTTTTATACGTACAATTGACACATACACTTTTCATTTCATCTTTATATTGTTGTTTATTTTCTTTTGGGATCATATTAAAAATGTCAATGTCAAAATAATCAAGTCTAATGCAAATATAATTCAAGTTGAGTCAAGCAAGAAGCTTTATCTCAATATATCATAGAGAATGAGAAAGATATAAATATTCATTTCATTGGGGTGTGGGTGTGAATGTAAATATTTTGAGTTTTTTCACACCTATACCTATACCATAGTCGGAAAATACGCAACAATGCATAACATTGAACAACCGCTTAATTGCACGACACATAACGCTATGTACTGTTAAATGACGTAAGCCTTCAAAGTTGAATACATCTATATTCATATGAATATGTTATTGATAAAAGAATATGAAAATAAGCTATCTAGATCATTATTATTAAATAGATTATTATTAACAGAACTTCATAGACTATGGAAAAAGATTTAGCACAATTATGGCTGATAACTGAAAATTCTTTGAACACATATGAGAACTGACTGGTTAAATGAGTCTAACTCATTAAAACTCTTTAGACGCTAACCATAGTTTTTAAGAAAACTGTTGTAGTTGAACATATTCTGAGTTTATACCTATTAGCTATGATGTAAGAAAACCTTTGGCTTATTCAACATGGCTGTCATAACATAGAAATATAGACAGGAAGATATCAAAATTAGATTGAAAAATAGAGCAGTTGAAAGCAAATAGTTCTATAACTTCAATTCTAACTGTCAACTATTTCCGCCATCTGGCATGGTTGCTTGACAAGCACTAACAAGGCTTGTTTTAATGAGATCGATTATGAATTTGTACAACTGCGTTTTGCATGATACAGTATTCATTTTTATATAATGATATCCGTTTCAAGATGAGACTTTCTTTCGATGCACTTACCACTAAATTTGCGATGTTCATCATCGTTCAATATGCCAACTAATGCATTCGGACTTTTGAGTGCGAGTGATTTTTGATGCCATTGAACACTCTTGTCATAGTCACCGGTTAATGATGCTAGCTCACCAAGATCTTTATACAATTTACCAAGTAAAGGATTATTTGGTGACAGTTCTTTTAATAAACGAGTAAAATACTGTTCAGCTAAATCAAGTTTTCCCATTTGCCATAGTACTTTTCCTAATGTTCGCAGATTGGTTTCTCCACTGCCAAGTTCGTGTTTCATATACATGAGAACATTTTTTAAATCATGTTCTGTCTCACTACATAAAGTCATTCGAATGATCCACACTTGATTAACATTGTTGTAATCGATCCCGTCCAAACGAAAAATAGATCCAAGCATAAAGAGTACTTCTGATTCACAAGGATATTGGCTGAATTTGCTGATATCGGCAAATGGTTTCGTAGTTGCCACCTTAGGATCAGCAACGATTTCAAATAATACTGGCTCTAAGCTCTCTGCAGCATTAGAACCTTTGAGAAATTTAAGAGCTCGTCGATAATCAGTACTGGTGGAAAAAAATGAATTCACTGAAATAAACTGACCACGAAATTGCTTTAAATTGTTCAGTTCATCGGTTGATATCTTTTGGCCTCGATATACTTGTAGAGGATTCTTAGTTTGATGATTTTTCAATTGATGTTGAATATCAGAGATAAATGCACGAAATAAAAAAATCATATGAATATTTTCAGTGCGTAAAACTGCATTGAGAGTCTTGTAAAAGAATGATTCTCGTGTGCACCACCTTAATACTTCGTCAGGCGAATAATTCTTTCGAAACTCGCGTAGATTGCTTAACTCTTTATCATTATCTTCATATTCTTTTTTACAAATCTCAATAAGCTCTTTGGTATCTCTTTCAGTAGATTTAAGTCGTAAAAGACAATCAATAAGAGCTTGTGAGAAAACGAATTTACCATTTACGCCACTTGTTGATTTACCTGCACCAGAACCTGTAGTGAAAGTATTGATTAAGAAAGGTTCTTCTACGATCTTTTGAATTTTATAATCATTTTTAATTCGAGATACGAGTTCATCAAGTTGAACAACAACAGCTTTTATCTATCAACAAAAAACCTAATAAAAGGAAATCTGAATCATTTAGTCTAATTTTACTTTTGGAAAATTGACAGCCCATTGTTTTTTTCTCTCTTTATCCATACAATACACATAGATTGATATAATTTGTCGAATTTTGTGAATAGATGGTACTATTGCTTGTCCTAATCGACCACTGACAATCATGACTACTCGTTCATTTTGTGATCGTTGTTCAATATATTTTTGACATTGTTCTAAATCTTGAAATTTCTTGAAGCGATTGATAATAGAACGTAATTTTTGTTCCGTATCACGATTAACTTTGGCTTGAATATTATCATCGAGCCAGATAATACAGAAAATTTCAAGTGACTGTTCGTCGACATCTCCATGAAAGTTATCAATAGGTAGAGCAGCCGCAGCCATGTTAATCAAGAAGGATGAATAGAATAAAAGTTTCGTATGTCGTCGTTTTGATTCAGTTATCAAATGTAGGAATGATTTTTACAATCTAAAACAAATGTTATACGATCATTTTTATTATTTTATTTATTAGTATTTATTATGCTATCTAAGATGATAGAAGAACAAAAGGTTCAAATTCATAAAGGAAAATGACATTTGTTTTTCATTGGATTACTTTAGCAATATTACAAACTAGGCGATATTATCTTTTACTAAGTTCAGTATTGTTAGTTAGTAGTGTATAGATTTTTAACTTCAATAAGTAAGAATCATAGAGTTAGTTTTTTCTCTTCTGAAAACCCCTACAACAAACTTAGTTGAATCTATAGAATCGAACCGTGCATTCAAACAATGCTGTTTCTTATTTGATTGAAAGAGGAAATAATAAGCTCAACTTTGTTACAAAAAGCTATAATCTTTATTGGATTCTCCAAATATGTCATAGTAAAATATAAATTGTAATCTTCATTCTCTAAGTAGTATTATTAGAGATCTTTCATTGAGATCTTTATCAAGAGGGTGACAGATATTTTTTTTCTTTGAAACTTATCCTAAAGTCGCGAAGACTTCACAAAAGAAACTATTAATGTTTATTATATCTGGATTGAGGAACCGTTCTTTTTACACGTGAGATATATGCTAACGAAGAAGAAGAAATCTAGTTTCTTTCGATCATGTTAATTTTAAATCTTAGACATTATGCTGCTCATATTTTCGTCCGACGCATGAAATGAACAACAAATATTTCACATGGTATTAAATTTTCTAATAGTGATAGTGTACTAAAAGAAATCGCATTATTTGAAAGGAAAAACAAGCGACTACACCATTCATATTTATAAAAATCGAAGGAAAATCTGTCATTATTTCGAAAAATTGAGATATTTTTTGGTCGAAAAGAAAAAAACGTTTATTTTAATGTAGATAATGATCGACATATCCCTTTTTTCTTCTACTGTAACTTCATTCAAACCTGTAGATGTTGCTATCAACTCTAGATAATTTAAACGAAAAGCAAGAGTTCTTCATTTGATTTACATAATGTTGAGCGAGTTCATCATGCTCCTATATTGTCAACAATCTCTTTTGAAAAAAATGTATGAAGAAAAGAAAAATCTCTCTGTAGATAATAAAATGCATAATTTTTTCTCAAGTTGCGTTCTTTTACGAATTGCTCTAGTCACTGATATCAGTTGGATGGTGTTTATAGTTTCATAAGTGTTTGAATGCAAGAATTTTGATTCAAAAATACAGCTTTATGCGATGATCTCTACCGCTAGTTTTACTGAATGAAGTTTCGATTCGTTACTTTTTGTTTTTAAGCTAAATTTTGCCGCACCTTTACAGATTTGTTATTGAAAACACTCTTCAAGACACTAGTTTTGTTGATTCAGGGTGTATGCAATTTATAAAAACTTATATGTATAGCTAATTATTTTATACCTAATTAATCTTTCAATTGTATTCGAATTACTTTTCAAAACTAAATCAACCTTAAAAATCTGACACAATGAATAAGCATATTTCGTATTTCTTAAAATTTTTTTTTCTGAGGCATGTAAATTTATCACAATCAATGACCGAAAATGACAATAGAATTTTAATCATTGATATGCATATAGACGACAACGAAAAGGCAAAACCGTTTGAGTGTGTTATTCAAAAAAGAATATCAAAAGTAAAAAAGTGTAAGACAAAGATTTAACAGGACAATAGGGGTTACACATTGAAGATATATGTTGCCATCAAATTTAGATCCAATCCGATTATTACTCTCAGTAGAGATGCTTGATATACTATTTCGTATTCTTACTTGTGATTATATCATGTAGGGCTATAACTTATTTGAAAGAAGATTGACGAGAAAACAAGAAAAGAGATGCGGTAGAACATAGATGACAGTCTCAGCATTATTCTCAATATCTTAGCCTATTCTCATTAGTTCGAAAAAAAGTTGTTTGGTAGAAAAATTTGTTACTTAATCTTCTACAACATTGTGTACTTCTTTCAATCAAAGCATGCTTCATAATTTTTTGATACACAGTGCAATTGTTAACTTGAAATGGTATTAGGTTGAATGCTGATTTTTGAATTCGCATGCCATGTCTAATTTTTTTAATTTTTTCCTAGAAACTAAATTTCATTCGTACTTGCTGAACCATACATGCCATCATTCAATTCAATGATGGTGCCATAAAACGACTTTCCATCTTATATTAATAAGGATCATTAGTTTCTCAACAAATTAATTAGTTAGATTATTTATTATAAATAAAAATTTTAAGCCACGAATAGTAATAGATGCAAGTCCAAAAATGTGATAGTAAAATTTTGTAAAAAGACTAACGTGGGAAGTAGTATGTTGTCTAGTCGTCTTTTTTTATGCTGTATATCGAAAGACTATAACATATACTTTCATTAAGAGAAATATACAATTTTGGAGAGAATTTAACAAAGAATCTTTATAAGAAAACTTTGCTTTGAATTGATGAGAATAGACTAAAATATAGAGTAAAATACTCAGATTCCCATTCATTACATAACAACTGTTAGGTCAAACAGATAATAAGAATTTATGCATTCATGAAATTGGCGTGAATTTTCACAAAAAATCTTTACCATATTGCTTTTGACAAAGCAGTGGCATAATCAGAAATCATCAAGATTATTTTCTGGTGATAAAACAAAGATGATGATGGCATTTTTTTTCTTTTATTAAAAAATTTAAGAAAATCGCACTACATCTATTTCATTCGTTTTGAATTTCTAACAAAAAATAAGAGATATCGTCAGCGACACGATCGAATGATAAACTATTTAATAAAACAGCTACAACAATCATTTGTGAATTAAATTATTGTGATTACTGAATCTTAATTAGAACCTGTAACCATTCACGAACTAAAATTATCTCTAATTAACCTAAATTCATTTGTTCTTCAATTAACTTGATACATTACTTATCAACAGTGTCTATAACTGTAATTTAACTGTTTATATATCGAATAAACTTTATAATTTGAAGCTACCTATTTATACAAAGCATTATCTTTATATTCACAGTAAGTGTGTGAGTGTGGGTATTCTTTTCACCTTCATCGACACCCATAAAGGGTGTTCCATAATAACTGACGATAAATTGTTATTCATATTTTTCATACTTTTTCTTGACATAGAGGGCTGAAATTTTTATCACCTATATATCTAATGAAGATCTTCTGTTTCTGAAAGTTTCAGGTCTCTAGCTATAACTACTGGTGAAATACATCAACAACATTCAAATATATAAATTTTCGAAATCGATTTTTCAATACTTTTTATTGTGAAAATGTTGCAGGATATTTTCATGAGTAGTTAACCAAAAAATCACAAACTGTTCAGAAAATTTTTTTTCGTATCAGAATTTGTAGAGCTTTTCCCGCTGATCATTCTGGTAAAAAAACTTTTCCAATTTCATTGAGAAATGACGATGTTATAGGCAAAATACTAAACACTTTAAAATAGGTTAAAGCGTAAGGAAGTCGATTCGTATATCTCAAAATGTGGCTATATTCTGGAGAAATGTGACTTAGTAGGTTTTGTAGAGGAAACCTTGCTCTACAAGATCCTATAGTCCGTTTCTGAAATATAAGCAAATAGGATGAATAATTCTCGATTGAACATTGTATGCGATATTTCTATGAAAAAAATCTGACATCTTCTATTTTTTGCGATAAATATTTTGACTATAACATCGTCATTTCTCAATGAAATTCGAAACATGTTTTTACCAAAATGATCAACAGAAAAAGCTCTACAAATTCTGATATGAAAGAAAATTTTCTGAATACTTTGTGAGTTTTTGGTTAACTACCTATGTAACTGCCCCGCTAGGTCGATTACGAAAATTCATGTATTCAAATGTTGTCGATGTATTTCACCAGTAGTTATAGCTAGAGACCGAAAACTGTCAGAAACAGAAGATCTTCATTAGATATATGGGTGATAAAAATTTCAGCCCTCGATGTCAAGAAAAAGTATGAAAAATATGAATAACAATTTATCGTCAGTTATTATGGAACACCCTTTATCTACACCAGACATCTGCACACAGCAAACTCTTTTGGGTATTAAAAGGTTTTCTATAATTTTTGTCGGAAGCTTATATAAAACTTGACACTATTTTACAACAATCACTAACTATACATTATAATCTTCATTTGCATAGTCAAATGATATCGATACACTCAAAGAAGACTGAACTTCTTGTTACAGCATATAATCTATCATTCAACGAATACACATAATTATTATAACACTATTTTCTATACTTTCTATATACTCTACATTTCTGTATTTCCCATATTTCTGATGAAGTATCTAAGAACTTTAATGAATTTTCGCGGAGTTTAATAGAAAACATGTTATTGTTCAAGATATTCCTGGATGACTTGAAGCTTTTTGCTCACACTACAATGCATCTCGGTGTGGATTATAGTCTTTGTGTTCACTGTTCCAGTTGCTGTATTACTGAAATTTTTCATCTTCACGTTTTCAAATTGATGAGCACCGCCAGACATTTTTGGAGTCTGTTTTTCGTAATGCACTCTGATGTCAAAGTTCTGTCACGATATTGTCGCACATGGAATTGTCGCCTAGGAGGTGCTATCGCCCGGACACTTTCAACATTTCTTGTTTTTTGACAATAAGAGTTAGCACAGAAGTATATACACAGAATGTGAATTAGAGCGAAACACATTCACAACGGAAGCAAGATCTGCTGGAGTCATATAGATTCTTATTGATCTGGTTATATTATAGTAGAGTTAAAATATTTAATAAAATAAGATACATCTTAACAGACCTCACAGATAAATCTTTTTCATAAAAAAAAATAAAATAAAAACTTTGCTGCCTCATGAACTCCATATTATAGGAACAAAAGATATCAATAAGAAAAAGTGATCGAAATCAGAAAAGTT